CAGCCCAAAATGGGCTTTTCCCACCCCTTGGGCAGGAGGGGCATCACCACCTCCATGGGCTGATGCCACTCAGGACTTTGACAGCACCAGGGCAGAACCAACAACCTGCCAGTAGAGAAGAGCATCCAAGGAGCACCTTACCAGGAGGTCCCCGCTGATGATGAGAGCTCTCTTCTTGTGGCGTGAAGGCTCCGGGCGCTGCTGGGGGAGGTGGCCACTGCACAGGACTTCCCCACTGCCACTGAGGTTGTTGTTGCTCACCCAGTAATCCTTGAGGATCTCACTGTGACAGGAAGGGGTGGTTGGAGCTGAGATGGGGACACTGAGCACGCTGCCTGGCTTCAACCAAGATCTACGGTTGGCTTTGGCCATCTCAAAGGCAGCTCCGGGGACATGGGGCTGGTACCCAGCGGTGGGAATAGGGAGGACAGAGAGAGGGCCCCAAGAGCTCAGTGATCTCAGAAATCAGCCTCTGTTCCTGTGGTTTAGAGGCTGGAGGGAGAGCAGAAGCAGTTCCTGGTCAAAGCCTGCCAAGGAAGAGAATGCTGGAGGGACAGAAAGAGGTGGGGAGGCCTGAAGAAGCATCAGCAGCTGAAGCCATGGAGATCCAGGCTGGGACAAGGAAGGAGAAGCATCTTTGGCAGAACCAAGCTCTGCCCACCCCACGCAGGTGCCCTCACGTGTCTGCAGTGGGGACAACAATGTCCTGAACCAATGTCATGACTCCTCACCTGATCTCCTTCTCCTCCAGGATCTCCATGTCCTCCGTGAGCAGCTTGCAGGCGTAGCCAACGTTCAGCGCGGTCTCTGCAACACGCAGGTGCCAACAAGGGTCACAGGGTGCTGCCCACCCCGTCCTGGGGCAGCCCCCAACCCTCTAGTCCAACAGCCCTTGGTGGGCAGCAGCTGCTGGGGGCTCTCCTCCAGCCCTGTGCTGTTGTGCAGATGGTTTCCCCTGCCTCAGTTTCCCCATGGGTGACACGATCCATGGGACATGCTGTCACTTCATGTTAAAGGGAACAGCAGAACCTGGTTGTTGCCCACTCCCAGCCTATCTCAGACCTCTTCTCTGGTCCTGGTTAGAGGAGAAGCTGAAAGGTTGTTGCCTCCACTGACCTTGTTTGTCTCCTGTCAGCACCCACACTTTAATGTTGCCCAGTTTCAGCAGCTGAATGGTCTCAGGGACTCCATCTTGCAGCTTGTCCTCAATGGCCGTGGCCCCAAGCAGCTGGAAGGAGGGCAAGTGAGGGTCATGCCTTGGGGCAGGGCAACAAGCAGAGGTGGGAATTGCCCCTGGATCCAACCAAGAGTCCTTGCCCATAGGTGGACATGACAGGAGAAGTTCCTAACCCAGGGTCTACTGGCATATCATGAGGTCACCCCTGGTGGGGGACTCCACCTGCCCACCAGGGGATGGGTGTTGGGTTGGGCACTTCACCCCCTCATCCTGGAGAGCCAAACCCCACACTCCTGCCCTCCATGGGACGAGCATGGGTGGTTCCTCCTAAAGCCCAGCCTCATCCCACCTGCAGGTCCTGCTCCAGCTCCTCGTACAGCTTGTCCAGCTCTCGTGCACGGTCCTGCAGCAGGATGCTGGCCTGGTGGTGCCTCCTGCTCCACGTGCTGTACTCAGCCTCGCTCACCTCCTTGCTGGCCAGGCATAAAGTCCTCAGAGTCTCCTCTGCAAAGCGCTGCAGAGAGGAGACATCAGGTCTCCCTTCCCTTGGCCAAGGTGATGCTCATGCTGGACCAGGCCAGCCAGCCATTACCCTCACATGGGCAGAGCCAGAGACCCTCCAGGACCTGAGGGTCTCCCTCTGGGCTCTGACCATCCCACAGCATCCCCGTGAGCACCCTTGCAATGCCACTGGTCCATGCAGAACACCAAAGGTGCATTAGATGTCCTCTCAGCCCCTCTCCCGTAGGCAGGTAGAAAGAAGGAGCAAACTCCTGAAGCCGGAGGGGAGAAGGAGCAGCAGGGGGGCTCCAGGAGACCCAGCCCAAAGGCAGCAGCAGCAGGAGACCAGCCCTTTCCACCTTCCAACTCACATCCAGGGCCCTCTCAGTGAAGGTCTCGCTGGGCCCTCGCCTCTGCAGCCTCTCCAGGATGACGGTGTCAGCACCCTTGGTGTAGAGCCGGATGGTGCCCTGGGGGTCTCGCACTGGGAGGGGGGGAAGGGACAGCTCAGATACCCAGAGAGATGGCCCCCACCCATCACTGTCCCCGTGCCACCACAGGGGAAGCTGGTGCCTGGCTGCTCGTGGCCAGAGGAAGCCCAGGAACGTCCCCAGATCTGCACCACCACAAGCAGGACCAGACCTCAAGGACACTGAGCTCCTCACACACCTCTCTGAGGCTCCAGGTTACTCTCTGGTTGGGCTGCTCAAACCCTTCCCCAAGGCACCAGGGTGAGCAAACTGCAGGGGCGACCAGGGCAAGCCTTAGGAGTCCCTGTGCCAGCTGCCATCAATCCCAGTGCCACCCCTTGTAGGGTTGGATGTGGAAGGGACCCTCTGTGTCCCTGGAGGTCCCCTCCCTGAGGCACCCTGTCTCTCTCACCCAGGACAGACATCCTCTTGCGATCACTGTTGAAGTCCAGCATGGCCAGCACCTCGTAGGTCCTCCTCACCCCCAGCTCACTGATGGTGATGGTGTCTTGTGTTCGGGACAGGAAGACGTACCCCAGGTTCTTGGCTGCCAACACCAGTGCTTCTTCATCTGGTGAGGCTGCCTGGTAAACCAGCTGATCTGCAGAAGAGGAAGAATGGCTTTGAGCTAGAAAAGAGTAGATTTAGGCTAGGTTTTAGGAAAAAGTTCTTTAATCTGAGGGTGATAGGTCACTGGACGAGGTTGCCCAGAGAGGTGGTGGAGGCCCCATCCCTGGGGACATTCAAGCTCAGGCTGGATGAGGCTCTGAGTAGCTTGATCTAGTTGGAGATGTCCCTGCTTATAGCAGGGGTGTTGGACTAGATGACCTTTGGAGGTCCCTTCCAGCCCAAACATTCTATGATTAGGGGTGAGACAAGGAGACTCCCAGCCAGGTCACTCTTGGACATCTGAAACACCCTGTTCTTGCCCAGCACCAACATTATCTAAAGAGACCCTAAAATCCAAACCACCAGGCTAGGGAAACTCAATCCCACTTGTCTCAGCTCTTCTGCTCGTTACCCCGGGCAGGTCAAGTGTCCAGACAGGGGTGGATTATCCCTCTGGTGCTTCTGTTCCAACTCATTAGCTTTAAACCAACCCCAGACAGACACGTCCTGAGCCCAGAGCATCCCAGGGCCCTCACACCCCCTCAGCAGAGCTTTGTTGGGGAGGTGGAAAAAACCATCACAGCCTCAACGCCTTGGGTGGCACCTCGACCTCGCCGAGCACATCCACCTCTGCAGCCAACCCACCGCCCTTCTCCTCCACCATGACGGTGTGGCAGAGAGCCAGCAGCCTCAGGAACTCCCTCAGCACAGGGTCGTTGTCCCTCCAGGCAGCTTCCAGCAGCATCAAGTCACAAAAGTCCAACTTCTTCTCCCCATAGTGGCTCCGGGTCAACCCCGAACCCTGCAAGAGGCACGGGCAGGCTGCAGGCACCTGAGGGAGGTGCTGAGCACAGGGCTCTGCAAGGGGGCTGGGACACAGCAACCCTGTGCTGGCACAGCCTGACCCACGTGGGAGCCTCTGAATGGAGCTCTGCAATCCCTGCACCAAGGGGGTGAGTACAAAAAGGTTGGGAATTAAAAATTAGAAGGAAAATAATCAGCCCTGCATTGGGCACCACAGTGTAGGAAGGACCTTGAGGGGCTGGAGCAGGTCTGGAGGAGGGAAGTGAAGCTGGGGAGGGGTCTGGGGAACATGATTGTGAGGAGCAGCTGAGGGAGCTGGGGGTGTTTAGTCTGGAGAAGGATGGGGAGAACTTTATTCTCTACAACTCCCTGACAGGAGGCTGGAGTGAGGTTGGGGGTTGGACCCTTCTCCCATCTAGCAATAGGATGAGAGGAAATGGGCTGAAGTTGTGCCAGGGGAGGTTTTGGTTGAATATCAGGAAGAATTTCTCTCCTAGCAGAGTGGTGAGGGGTTGGCCCAGGCTGCCCAGGGAGGTGCTGGAGTCCCCAGCCCTGGAGGGGTTCAAAAAAACATGTGGACATGACGCTTGGGGACATGGTTTAGTGCTCATGGTAGTGTTGGGTTGATGGTTGGACTTGAGATCTTAGAGATCTTTTCCAACCTCCATCATTCCAAGATTTTATAAACCAGGTTGGGCAGCCCTTAGTGGGCAGCTGAGAACTGGCAAACTCGCCAGGCTCTGTTCCAGGGCTGTGAGACCAAGGCTGGTCCTGCTGCCAGCACAACCACCAACCTCTGCAGCTCGAGGAGCAGCATCCAGCCCCACGGCACACGGCAGAGGGGAGCTACTCACCAGTGGCTGCTTCTTCTCACGGCCTGTGCCTGTACCTGCCAAGACAAAAACAACCCCATGAGTGCAGAGCTGCTCGGGGGCTTCGGGCAGTTTCTCTAGAAAGAACTACTGGCCAAAAAAACTGGCAAAAAGAGACATGTTCCCATCATCTGCTCGGTGTTGGGCACGAGTCAGGCTCTGTTGGGATGTCTGGCTTTGATTTATTTCAGTTCAGACTTTCTACATGTTTGTGATGGTGGAAGTCCAGAGCCAGCCTTCCTCCGTGTCCCCAGGCAGCTGCCCAGGGGCTGGGGGATGGCAGCAATGCTGCTCTCACAGAAACAACACGGTGCAGAAGGGAGGGGAAAATTTGGGATAATCCTGCTTAAAAACTTGGCTGGATTGTTTTTTTTCTCCCTCCTCTTTGCTTTTATCACTCTCCGTTGGGCTCAAGTTGACCAATCGTTAAAAAAAAACCTAAAACAATCCAAACCACACACAAAAAAACCACCCAACATAAAACCCAAAGAGCAATTACATGTATTCACTGTACAGAAACAGCATAAGGGAAATGATCATTTCTTTGCCTCCTCCACAGGTCACCTGAAAACCTCAAAGTGCCCAAGTTTGGAAACCAAGCTGGAGATTCACCAGAAAACGATGCAAAGAAGAAAAAACCTCCTTTTTCTCTACAAGACCCTGATAGGAAATAAAAATCCATGAGTTTCCCTGGCCCATCACCCTGTGGCTCCTCTGCCTGCCGTGTCCTGGGCACCTGGGCCAGCATCAGCTGGTGGGATCCACCTCACCTAGACCATGTGTTTGCCAACCCCAGGATCCCGTTTGCATCAGGGAAGACCTGGCTGATGTCAGCCAAGCTTGGGCCATGATAGGTCTCCTGAAAGGTAGACACTGGTTTTAGGAGGGCAGAACTATGCCCTGGCTCCACACACTGGGAGCATGAGCCAACTGTGACCACGGGCGTGGTGGCCTCTGTAAAGCACCAGATGGGAACAAGCTGAATTCCTACACCAAGATCAATCCATGTGCTCCAAGCTTCCTGGCCAGCCAGGAGAAGTGGAAAGAACTAAAGCAGCCTAAATTCAAGCTCTACCTCACTCAGGAGTCTCTAAAAACTTGTGTCCACCAAAAGTTACCGTAGATGGTCCCATTGATGCAGCATTTCTTGAAGGTCATAACGTTCTGTGTCAAGGTGCCAGTCTTGTCGGAGAAGATGTACTCGATCTGGCCGAGCTGGTCGTTCAGGCTGGTGCTTCTGGCTTGGGCTGGGATGTCCTTGGCAGGGTAATACATTTCCAGATCCCAGTTGATAAAAAAGCTGTTCACCAGATAGATGAATTCAAACCTAGGGCATCAGATAGAAGAAAACTCAGTGGTGGCCAAGAAGATGGCATGACGCCCATTCATAGATCTGGAGGTTCAGCCCAGGGCAGAGGAGTTTGGGAAGTGCTTCTTCCAGCAGCAGTTGTGATTATTGCCCGCTCACAGTGGCTGTGACCTCCCCTTCCCCACCCTGCTGCTGCCCAGGGGGTAGACACCCCCCCAACAGCCTCAGCCTGCCCACAATGTTCAATACCAACCAGTGTCCTCACCTCTCTTCTCTCACTTTCCTCTGAGAAGATCCCAAAGGGCATCACCAGTGTTTGTAAGACAACCCCCCACCCATCTTACCCTCTTACAGCCAAGGGAACACGGGGAATGACTTGCCCAGGGTCATGGGTGGACCTTTTGTGGGTGTAAACCAAGATGATGGCCAAGGACAGGGAGTGGGGTGCTGGTCTCTGATGGCTTCCAAGTTCTTACGTTATATACATGGACATGGGGATGATGATGCTGAGGAGGATTGTGAAGCCCCAGAAGTTGAAGAAGGCCTGCTGGGCAGGGGTTGTGTGCTTGTAGAGAGCTGAGAGGTAGCTGTGCTTCTCCTGGAACGTCTTGGCCCAGAACCCAGAGGCAACGGCGAGGCACAGCGACGTGGCCAACAGCACCAGGAAGATCTGAGGTGGGAAGCCAGGATGAGAATGTCCCACCAGACAAAGCCCAGCAGACTCTTTTCTAGGACTAACCATTGCCCCTTCCAGACTGGATGTCTCCTGTAGCT